GGTGACGTCACCGCCCTTCCCTGTGATAGCAGGACCACAGCTACTGGGCTGTGGAGAGATCTCTCTTTAGCTCACGGGGCTAGGTCGCTGCAGAGAGATGCGGAAGTCCCGGGTTCAAGCCACCTATACTTTGGGCCGACCAGATGCGGCAAGGGCGCCCGCCTGAGCCCCCGTTGCATTACAATACTGTAGAAATCAGTAAGGGATGTGGAAAAAATCACTCATCTTATGATGAATTATGAAAATCCCCAATCAACTAGTGAGGTATGTTTGAGGCATTATACAAACAGGACAAGACCTTAGTGTCAATCAGGCATACTGCGTCATTAGGCTTGGATTCGTTATCAGCCGTTTTCAAAGCACTTTCACGCTAGATTGCCACCCTTGGATCACCCTTTCTCTGTGTGACTGCATGCTGCAAGAGGAATGGTAATATCAGGGGCCCTCTTTGCAGATACCTTAGGGTGAATTACAACAGATGTGCCAAATTTTGCACAGGACTGCATATTGAGTATTAGCTAGTATGATTCTATCTTAGGATCATCCCCAGCTGCCTGCTCAATTGCAATGAAAAAAACCTACGGAACAAAGTTGGAGAGTAACTGGCTTTCATTCTTAGTACGGCCCTAAGGATTAAGTAGTTATTGGATCAGGCTGAAAATGAAGGGGGCCCCAATTCAAAATATTATTCATACAAGGTAGATGGTGGGCCATCATGCGTGTGTGTGTATATAGTCTTGAATGTAATTAAACACTCCAAATGAGAGCATGCCTTAAAGCTTACATGTAAACTGTTGGCTACAAACTGCTATTTCACCTCCCATGGAGCACAAGTTTCCATCAGACATGGAAAGACCAGTATATTAACCGGTTATAATTGCTCACAGACGTGTTGGTTTAGGAAAGACAATTCCCATAAAACCCACCAGGTGCCTTCCTGACAGCATCTATATGACACGAGTTCCTAACCTGCCTGACCAGAGTAGCAACATCCTGTAGGCCCTCCCAGAGCAGGGAGCTTCACCGTTCATGGTCTGTTGTCACAAGAGCATGTGCAAAAGGAATTCACACAGGCTCCCTTATTTAAAAATAAGTCATGTTCTTCAAAGGGATACCTTGCCTTGAACAAGATCCTCTTATCACTGAGCTACTAATACCAGAGAATGATGGTGTAAAGTCTCATTTTCTACCTTCATGTGCCTAGGTACAGAACATTAGAATTTCCCAGAAATTATGATAGGTTAAACATCACCAATGCCCAACAGTTATCTGCCAACATCTTTATTTGATATTTCCCAAACAACAAAAAAGAGGATCAAGAACTTACACCACTACTTTAAGTGCTTTCATCCATAATCGATATTGATGATTGAACACTAACAAGCTGAATAAATTACATTTACCAAACGTTAGGCTGTGCATGGTTTACTGTAACGCAAGTCACATTGGGCCATTTGAGTTGGAGTAATCATACGAGTCTTCAAGGTTATGTGGATAGTCATCTGGCTCAGATGAAAGGTCTGTGATGGTGAAGTCAGGCACCTGTCAATGGGGAAAAAAAGCTAGGCATAAAACAGAATGAAGAGCTGTTGAGATGAAAATGTATAACAGTTGCTCCCGGATCCCGTCCCTGGGGTTTCATATGCAACCTTGTCTATATCTTGGAAGCCACTTAATGTCCTGGGTGAATTGGTCCACTTATATTTACATGAGGGTAATTATCTCCCCAAGCCAGACAGAGGTATTTTTACCTTAAGATATTAAAAACCTTTCAAAATTCTGGGACCCCATGGCTGGAGACTGGGAACAAATGTTTTGATGTATAAAAAAATAAACACTTTAGTACAATTGAAGCATGAAAACATCTTAGTAAATCATAATTCTGAAAAAGTGGTATTCACCTTAATTGTAAGGAAACGGTTATTAAACTCCACAGGTAACTCTTATGTTAGGGACATACTTATCTCCAGCTTCATATTTTTGTGAGCAGAAATACTTAAATACCGAATTAAGAAATCCCTGAAATTTAAAATTCGATACTTAAAATAGCACATGACTAGTTTTGCACTGAAGAAAAATGACAAGACATTAAGAACCATGATTAAGAATGGGGTTTTAGACATGTAACAGAAACTCAGGTTATGCCCGTTTTAGCATGTTGAAAACCTTATACATGCAGTATATTCAAGCTTTTCACAAATTTACCACAACCGATCAAAGCAAATTAACATTGTAAAATCAAAGCTGGAGGGGGAAACTGGCCAGGATTTGGATACAGAATGCTTAAAAACACTGAAGTTCCTAAAATTGATGTATGAAAGCTCTGTAGGTGTAGTGTAGGTTGAACTAGTTTAAAATTGCTAAAGATCAGAACTATAAAATACCACTTAACTGTAGAATAGATTAAGTCTGAGCAATCAAACTGTAGGTGTACTTTCAAGCCTAAGTTGATCTGAACACTGCTCAGGTGTGTAAAGGATAGCTGGGGAAAAAAAAAAGTGTAGCATGCATAGAGTTAAGAGGTTTCTGCACCTAATTCATCTTACAGATTTAGGATAAGATTAAAATTCTGATGACCAATTCTAGCAGCTGTTTAGTCAAGACATTGCTAGTTGATTAGCAAAGGACAAAACATGAACATTCTCCACCTTAACCAGACATGTTAAAACAAGACGACCTTATGGCAGGTAAATATGAAAACCAAATTCCACCACCCCACAGGGGACCTTCTCCACGTGCTAACAAAAATTGCTACTCCCCTGCCCTGTTGTCAAGAGGTTTTCCAAATCCGAAGGTTAAAATGAGTCAAATGAGACAGATCAGATGCTTTGTTTGTTTATTGTTAATGTATTACATAGTTTGAAATACAAATTCAATATATCACCAGAGCAGCTAAAAGGCACAGTAAAAATGGCACAAAGGCTGGATATCAATTTGAAGTTCCATAATCACCTCCTACTTTGATCTTACAAAGGCACACAAGGTGAGGGGAGTGAGCCACCAAGCCAAGGTTCCATTACCACACACCACAGAACTGCATGCAACTACAAGCAGAGTATGCTGCAAGAGCAAAGCCCTAACATCACAAGCCTGAAGGGAGGGAAAAGTGCTTTGTGAGACAGCAAGCTAGTTAAAATTCTCTTCATCTACCCTTTGCCAGCAAGACTTTTCAGCATTTATCCGTTAACAGGGACTGCCCATTCTTCCACATGCACGGCTCACTTTTGAGGGCTTTCAACTAATACACATGGTCCAAGAGCACTTGCAATGGCCCTCAAAAAGATGAGGAGCTTTACAATAATGGAAGGATTTGAGCATTTGCAAATGCTTTTGTTTACCTTTTTTAAATGGTTTTGGCAAACCGATCTCCTATAGACCGTTTCAAAGCTGCAGCTGGTTAACTACTTCATACTGGAATGAATAGGCCTTCTGTCTCCAAAATAAAATTCCCTCCATTAAAACCCTGAAAGATTAAAGGACGATAAGCGGAATGTTGAACACTGCAGTTAAAGCTGCAAGCCTAGTGCTTGGCATTCAGCAGCTGCATTTCCTCTTGTTTGGGCCTTTTCTTCTCTTTCCCGTCGTTTTGAGGGCTCTGGGAATCAGGGCTCAGCCTGGGGTAAAAGGGACCTACCAGCCAGTTGAGAGGGGTGTTGTTGACCAGGTAGTCCATCACACCATCCAGGGATTCTTTCATTTTACCCAGCTGGCCTTTGCTGCTTGCTAATACATTGTCAGACATGTCACGGAAGGAGGAGGCAGAACTGAAGTTACTGTAGACTTCAGCAGCAGAGTGAGTGAGGGATTGAGCCTGGTCCTGGATGTGTTGGGGCAGCCCCTGTATGCTGGAGACCAAGGTCAAGCAGGTGGTCTGTAGCTGATGGGTGAGATTGCGGGCTATGGCCAGAGTACGAGATTCAATATGCTAAAAAAAGAACAAGAAAAACCCATCAGCAAATCTCCAGTGGGGGGAGGCATTTTAATTCAGATGCCTCCAGCAATTGACTGCCAGTAATAAATTAAGCCAAGAAGATTTTATACAGTAAGTCATTTAAATAAGCCGAGATGAACTATCATACTTATACATATTGGTTTGATAAATTTCATCCTGCAATCTTTCATAATGGGGCATGAATGATTTTAGTGCTCAGGTTTTGTAAAATGAGTTTTTGCTTGATTGGGAGCATATCTGCTTGAAACATGGTCCATACCTCCACTTCACTTCCTCCCTCATTGCCCCCAGGCACCTTCTTCCACTCCACCCAAGAGTTCAGTTTATCTTGAACATTGTGAATCCTTTTGTTAGCACTGTCCATGTTCTTTCTAGCATATTCAATCTAGAACAGAGAAGGACAATCATTTCTATTTCTCAAAAGACCCAAGCTTTACTTCTCCAACCTTTAACAACTGATTTATAGCCACGTGCACCAACTAAGCAGAGGTAAGACTTGGGGTATATGGCACTAAGAGACATTCAAGAAACCAGGTCTCTTCCACACCATCAAAATGGCTGGCAACAGCTTCAGAACATTAAAGAACTCTGGGTAAAAGGTATTGGTACCAAAACTGAGCCAAAAGTCTCACAGTTCCTGGCACTAATGGTATCTTTCTGGCCCACACAAGTTGCAGCTGGTGCAATTTCAATTGTGCTCAAACTTACCAGATCAACTGTGTAGTTAAGCTGAGAAATTGACTCCTGGCTTCGCTGTTTAGCATCACGCACCTTGGCTATTGCCTGGTGGTATGCTCTCTTGCGAAACTTGGTGGAAAGGGATCCCAAACGAATGTAGTAGCTGGGTTTATTAGTCGCAACTTCAAACCCTTCTACATTTTTAGCTTCATTCTCTGAAAAATGAATGTTTACCTTGGGTTAGAAATCAGGTATATTTCAAACCGATGCTTGAATTACCTGGATTGTGGCTTTGAAATTAAGATATACGTAACATTTATAGATTTGTTTTATGAAGCACCCAGAAGAAAAAAGTAAATGGTTTTTCTCCAGTAACAGTAGCTGGATTGATTTTTTTGTATTTGATTTACATATGCTTTTAATACACCAAAGGTCCGTGAATAGCTTTTCTATCAACTTCAGAGATTGCCACATTTAGTACAACCAGGAGAAAGAATCATATTGACCCTTAACATTGTCTTCATAACTTGGCATTTTGGTTATGTTTTAAATGTATGCTCGTCATCAACCTGAAATTCATTACAGTGTAATCTTCTGTAAACCTTATGGAATTTAACCTCAAAAGTACTTCCTAATTTAAAGTGCAATCAAACTAGAGGAAAAGCAAAACTGTACTAGCTTTTAATGCTCAATCTGATTTTCTTGTGCTTACCTAGCTCCTCCTCGGTCAGTGGGAGATACTGATCCACCAGTGACTCAGAAGTGCTCAGTGCTGTGTCCACACCAGAGCTCACCAGCTGTACCACGCGACTGCCCATCACCGTGTTGACACTGCCATTTACCACAGCCTTGGTCATCTCCACACCATCCTGCACTGCTCCTTTGGTCTTGTCCACCACCCCAGTGATGGTGTAAGAAACGGTATCTTTGGCTCCCATCACAGTGATAGAAACCGCATCCTTAGCTCCAGTCACAACATCCTTAGCATTGGCAACGATCTGGGGGACACAGATGTTTCACTGGGAACATTCATAGATTTTCATATCCTCTCAAGGGAAGGATGACTAAAACTGGCATTTTGACAAACACTTTGCCAAGTCCAACACGTTCTTGGAATCAAAGTATAAGACTAACATCCAAATCATGCACCAAGGACCCCATTACCACCCAATCACAAACAGCTAGAAGATGTAATGCAGAATCAGCCCAGCTAACTGGTACACGCCCAGACTTAAAGGAGCATCCTACTTGAGAAAGCTAAAAAGGTCTTGAAGTATTCAGGATCCTCACAGGCATCAATAGTGTCAGTGTAAAACTCTGGTCCAAGAGCCACCAATTCCAAGGATAAAAGGAAACTAACAGGGAGTGCTCCCCCCCAAAAAAAACAAAACAAATAACACTGTTTCTTGCAAAAGCCGGATGAGATTCTCCAACTACATCTGCTCCATGGAGCAAATGGCCCTTACTTGTAACTTGATCCAAATACAGAGAATGGATAGAGGCTGGCAACAACTTAAGTCTTATGTTAAGTTGCAAATTAGCAAAATCCCACACAAGCAGCTCCATCTAGAACTCAAGCATTAAAGAAAGCATTTCAACAACTAGATTTAAAATGAACTGGCTTGCACAGTTATCAATTACTCACAACTGTAACAAAATGTCTGATGAAGTTGATGTACCTTATCGGAGGGCTGGTGGAGGATTGGCAAGGTCTTCTCAATTTTATCCAGACCCTTACAAGCTAGGTCATTTGCTACTGCAACTGAAAGACAAAATGTTTCAAAGAACAGGTTATGTTCATAGTTTAATTACTATGTTTACTAGACAAGGAGCAATGGTCTGAAAGATCAGGAACTACCTTATAAATTAATACAATCCACAGTACAGATAGTTTTTTAGGATGAACTGACCAGTGTCCCAGTTAAGGATGTTTTATTCCTGCATAAATCCTTCATTAGACAAGTGCAGATGGATTTCTGCAGTGCTGGTAAGCAAACAATGTCAATACATCAATTGACAAAGATAATTCTAGAACAAACAGAACCTTGACATTCATTATACACAAGTGCCCTACTACCAGTACACCAATTCAAATTCAGACTTGTATACAACACTGTTAAAAGGGAAAAAAGAAATGACTGGTGAGTAACCAATCACAACACCCTGACAGAGCACAAGACATTACTGAAGCAATGCTAAGCAACAGGATCTAGGTGAAAGTTCATTGTGCAAGAGCCGAGTCACTTCCAGTTTCAATCTGTACCACTCCCGATTCCGGACAGTGTAAACGTGCAGTGTCGCATGCTACTGAAATTTTTACACATCTGAAACTTAAGTCTTTCAGTATTAAGTGGGGATAGTTAACTTCTGCAACATAATATAAAATGGGGTTCTTTGCCCCCTACACAGAATAAGTAATCCAACTATCCTTACTTTGAGGCTCCAGCTTCTGAATTATAGGCATGGCACTGGTCAGTGCCACTGAAGTAATGGTCATCACACTTTTCTCAGCCACTTCACACACAGACTTGATGTAGGGATGATTCTCCTTAGTATTGGAGTACACACTGGTCATCATGTCATAGGTGGAGCTCACCAGTGGAAGGTTAGCCACTCTGGCTACCACATTCTGAGAAGAGAAAAGAGCACGTTTAACTTAGGTTACCAAGATTATCACTATTTTCCATCTCTGGGTCAAACTGAGATCTTCTGATAAGGATAGCTTACAATTCATTTCTGGTACAATCCAGAACAGATATAACCGACAATTGCATTGATGTTTATATACCACTGTAAACCACACAAACACAAAAGTGCACTCCCTTAGAAACTTAAACTGTTTATGAATAACGTTTCCTTCAGCAATCCTTGATGGATACTGTCAGGTCCTGCACACTGAGTGACCAGAACACTTCTGCCTCTTAAATGAACTCCATCCTTCCCCAACTGAATATTGACTTCCTTAATGAATACCTGAAAAAAGTTTTAACTAAACTAACAAGAGAATATACAAGACAATAGGCTAGTCACGTTTCTCAGGATGTATAAAACTACAAACGTTGTAGTTAATGTATAATTGCCCGTTTGCGGCAAATCTAGGGCTTCAGCACAGTTGATCTGAACAAAAGAGGCAAAGTGCAACAGTTGTAAACAAACTTAGATTAAACTCGTTATTTCAAATAAAATTAAACCCCACCTGCTGCGCCACAACTTCCATCGACGCCATGTTTCACTCTGAAAGGAGTAACAAATGAATAGAGGGCATTAATAGCAGCATCACCAGCAATTTACCTACAAGCTATTAAATGTTGAGCATAGCACGTGTTCGTAATTTAAAAAGCAGTAGTACCTAATAATGCTTGAATACGGATGACTAACAGGAAATTGGAAAAGAAGTTGGTTATTTATTTAATAGAAGCGGTTAATTAATCAAATTAAGTACCGTAATAATCCATAGAGGAATTATATGGTAACAAACCAACAAAACGTGTTTTACTTATCTATCCATTTTTTTAAATGCTAGTAATGCAAAATAGCCGATGTATTTAATAAGTAAAAAAGATACAAAACCCCACCCAAGACAATTCATACCCTAGAAATAACTCATGTTTTTAAGAATTGCTGGTCAATACAGAATAAAGCAAGTAAAAAGAAACAGCCACACTGTTTGAAAGCCAGTCCACACTCTTCATTCAAACTGACTCTGGCGATCCAATAGAAACTGGGTGCAGAAACAGTTACATTGTTAGATATAGCCATGTTCCCCTCACACAGCCAGCTCGCCAGTTTCCATTTTGGGAATTAAACACCTGCGTCGTTGACGAAACATAACACAGCTTTAAAACACAAAACGTTCAATCAGCCCTAAAAACAAACCAACGCTTCTCACCTTCACAGAAAATGGATCGCAAACCTCCAAAAACACAAGGCTCGTCCGTTACTCCTGTCTTCTCCAGACACGATTCTAGGTCCTCTCCCCTGCGGCTCTATATATTAACGCAGCCGTTCCTTTTCTCGCGAGATCTTTCAGACTTTCTGACATCATCAAACCAGATGAGGGGGCATTGAGGTCTTTGGACTAAAGGTCACACGGGCACAATTTGGGGATTTCCAAACTGTTTAAACAGTGTACTAGATATTTCTAACATTTCCCATGCTCCTTCACTAATCATCTATCGCTTTTATCAAATATATCCGGTTTTTAAATATAAAATAAAATACATATGTGCTTGTGTGATGCTTTGGCACTGTGTATCAGAGTTATAATTTCAGGTTATTCGCTCCGTTTTTCTGGGTACACTTAACCTGGAATGGAAAGCAAATATGTTCTTTATTTTTTGACCTAGTAATGAAAAATAAATAACTTCACTTTTATTCATGTTTTTTAATTTGAATGGATAATTATGTAACAATCCGTATTCATCTGTGACACCTTACTACAGCATTCCACATCATCTGGACAAAACTCCAACTGTAGCACGTGATGCTGGAGTGGTAGGTTGTTTTATGACTCCTGTTAAAGTGTCATAAAGTAACAAGCTATTACGTAATAAGAGCGAGATGTTTCTCTTTCACGATCACGTACACTGCAGAAAAGTGTTTTTTGAGTGGTTGTTACCATTTAGATTTAACATGATTAAGTTGTTAAATTAAATCCACCCAATTCTTGACATAATCCTAGGGAACTGGTATCTACAACAGAAGGGCAGCATGGAGAAATGATAATGTTTCTGGACTCATGCCTGGTTGGGTTGCTGTTGTACTTTGAGTGAGGTGCTTGTCTTTGATTGCTCCTGTCCACTTTGCTGTATGAATGGGGAACAATAGGAGGCAGGCTCTATTTATATTTTTTTAAATAAAATACAAGTTTTATTAAAAAAACAGTGTTGTTTAGCTGGAATCTGAATTGAGTGTTAATGCAGTTGATGGACTTTGTCCTCATTATGACTCACTTCCATATTTCCCAGGCCACTAGTGACTTCAGTACAAAATATCTAGGTGAAAGGGTAAGCATTAAAAGATGTGCTGATTTGTGAGTATCAGTTACTCAACCTAATTGCCAGTAAATAAAAAAATCAGAGTATATATTTCACCGAATTATATATTTTTAATTTCTTCTCAATAATCCCCTTGGTTTCATAAGGGAAGTAAGCAGGCTCTTCAGCTCCAGAGCAAAGAAAATGGCTGTTTTGTATTTGTTTGTTCCTTCTCGGCTTTTTGCAGAGAGGTGATCCTCACACCCATGCCTGTGAAGTTTTTCTTTCACATGTGAGAAATGTCAATTGTTGAGATACAGTACACATACTTTCAAACTGTGTTACAGCAATACAAACATCTGATGCAGTGTAAAAATATAATGATCAGGAAAGACAGTGTTATTTTTTTATATCTGCTCAAAAACAACTAAAATGATAAGGACGGTAGATCAAGGGTGTCTAACTTAACCACAGGCACCCCAGCAGAAGTCAGGTCCCAGCCACAGCTTTCTAAGAAGTCATTAAGAGTGGGATTTTCTAAAAGGGGTCTGTTTTACCTGTTTGTTTCAAATCACAAGAACCATTGATACACAAACGGTTTGGTGAGTATCAAATCTGTTATTTTATACTATGACATGAATGAAAGTTAGATGCACTCTAGAATATTATGGAATTATTTATTCTCTTTACTGTTAACTTTATGTCACATCATGTGTTTAGACGTACAGATGTGTTCACAGATCACGAGATGAAATATTCTGGACTCTGACCATTACTCTATATAATCGCATCAGTTCCGCTTGTAACTGCATGTACATCTGTTGTAATGGCTTATGAACATGAGTATACGTTCAAAGTACAGTCCACTCCACCACTGACGGATAACCTCTTGATAACATTCAACAGTTTGATCTTGATTTTGAGCTCGCACATGCTGTTTTACAAATTAACAAAAGATAAGACCATTTTCTGCTGCAACTGTGTAACATTACTATTTTCTACATTTCTGTTAGAAATTATAATCGTTCATGGGTTCTACTTCCAAAAACGGTAGCCACTTAAGAATATAAGAAACGTTATACATAAGAGGAAACAAGTTCTCATCAAACTGTTTCTGGCTACCAGCCTCAACAGCATGGACATCGACCTCTTATTCTCTGTCCTAAATCTCTCTCAATTTCCACTTGAGGCTGCAGATCCTTGTTTTACTGTTAGTCTTGATGTAGTCTTAGAGGTCTTAGACTTCCCAATGCAGATGCTGGTGGTTCACACACCTGCTCCTCTACTATCTAACAGTCATGATGTGCTGATTAAGGAGATACTTGGCAAAGGGTTTAGAAGACACATTCTCACAGGGAGGTTAATGTGGTTTAATTACTCATACTGTTTTAAAGAAAACCTTTGAAACATTTCCGAGAAATTGAATAATATTTACGACAAGATTGATTGTTTGCAGTACAAATGTACTTCAGCCCCTTTTGGAATGAAACAATTGTTTTGTTTAAATACATCTGGTCTAGCATCTAAACAAAAATATTGTGTCTTGATAGTTTTCCAGCGATCTCCCCAGCCGAAAGACAAAAGTTAAAGCACTCAGATCCACTCAACCTAAGAAACAAAACAGACTTGACCCTTTGTTTTTAAGCATGTAAATCACAAGGACTGAAGGCCTCACTGCCAGAGAATGCAGAAAATAAACAGCAGTGACTGAATGGCTACAGGTTTTTATGTTCCCCAGAGTTTCCAAAGATTAAGTTTTAATATAATCTCATGTGCAGTTCATTGCACTTCAGGGAATTTGTGTCAGCATAGTATGTTTATGGCACACAAATTGACTTGAGCTTTAATATTAGCAGTAAAAGCCATCAGTTGTGCTCTCTCTGAGACTATGGACAGAATTGCAAATAGACTTAATAAAGCATTCGTCATGTTTTCAAAATTAACATATATCACTATTGGAAGAAATGCGGAACAAACAATACTCCAGCTGTAGCAATATATCTGTTGTAAAATTGTATTTAATAAAATGCACACCTTGAATTTAATTTAGGTTCAATGTTACATCTTGAAAAGATACCAATGAAAAAGGGGTCTTTGATACTATACTCTTCACCTGGAAACCAGATTCAAATGTTTGAAAGACCTTTTCCTTTGGCTTTCTTTCATTAAAAAAAAACAGTTTTCTATTTTCCCTACTTTTAATCAATATTTTATGCTACTGTTTAAATGTCTCTAGTTTTTAATCCAGATGAAGGTTGCCTTTAAAATGGCATAATTGAGTTCTCCTTATAGACAATATCTTTCTTTTTTATTCTGTTACTTTCGGGTTTCTATTTAATGGCACTGTACAGTTACCAAGAAATAGTGTTACTGGAAGAACCTGGTTATATTTAGGCATGGAGCTACTGGTAAAAATTGACCAGAATATTAGGTTGATGAGCACTGATCATTGATTCCTGATCTTCAGTCTCCTATATTCATGTTGTTGTGGTGACAGATTTAAAAATGAATAAATTGTAATAGGAGCGTTTCAGACTGGGGATCAAGGTTAACACACATCCCTAACTTAAAACTAATAATTGCGTATATTTGAAAAGTCTGTACTACAATTGAAGCCTCCAAATCTTCAAAGGTAAATAATTGATTAGTGAAACATTATTTGTCATACTGGAGTGTTAGTATCTCTATAAAAACCTGCTGCTAGTTAGTGCCTTCTGTTAATATGGAGTTACAACACATTGCACTTCTCCTGGGTCACTGCAGTGTGAGCAGCTGAGTTCAATGACCCCTGGAGTTGACAAAGATAAAGAAAAGAAAAATGATTTCCCAATTCTGCCGCTTATCAGCAGTTGTTCTGTTTGTGTTCTGGCACTAATGTTGTGTTGAAATGTCCGCTGTTCATTACATTAAACTTAATCTGTATGTTAATCTGGACGGTATGATTTCTCTAATCCTACTCTCTACTGACTTGTCAGTTACTACCCCTCAAAAGAGTGTGTACTCCCAGATTCATGATTCTTTTTTTCAGTCTCAGATGTGTGCGGATGTCACACAGTGAGAAAATGGGTGTGGAAAAAGACAGCTCCGTAAGGTTTGGTGCTTTTCTTTTTGGGCTTCAAGCTTCACCTTGGTCAAAGGACTTCCTTGTGTAGACACTCGTTAATTACCACAAAGTTCAGAGCTGACATGTGGGTTGTGAGACACATCTAATTGGGTCAGAGACTGGGGGGGGAGGGTTCCAGGACTGAGTCAGAATAGTCAACGCATCATTCCACCATGTCATCTGCATACAGCCAGTTGATGAATTAGCCACAAGCCGTTAGCTCTGCCCATACCCAGGACATTTCCACCACCACCGCCCCATAATGAGTCCTGAGACCTGGCTAGCAAAGAGCTTCGGAAGCCCCAGTCAGAGGATCCGACCGGAAGACAGAGACACAAGAAATTGTGTGAGCGCAGGTTGTCCCACTGGGCTCAGGAGAGGACTCGGACACTCGGGACTGTACTGAGGGCAGCAGAGGAAGGCTCAGGCCCCCCCAACACACAGGACATTGGCCTTAGAGGAATCAAGGTGGGGGTGGGATCAAGGACCACATTGTTCGGGATGGCCAGAACTGAACAGGATGCCTAAGATCAGCGAAGGACCACACAGAGTTTCTTCACTGTGCCGGAAGGAGGCATGCTAGTCACCGACTGGAGCTGGTTTCAGGAGAAAGGCGCTACTGCACTGCTCCTTTCGGACACTGGTGTTTGGGTAACCGGGATGTAGTTGATATGGTCTGTGAAAGGTGTCCCCTTGAGTCATTGGAATCTGTGTGATGGGTTGATTGACGGACTGTAACTAATACATATATACTGTGTAGGATGGCTGTCTTGTTTGGTCTGTGGGTGCACTCCTGGTTCTGGAAGATATAAAGAATGCTTTGCATTGGGCAAAAAAATTGTCTTAGCAACATTAAAATTGCTAGGTGGAGCAGTTGGCTACAAAGCTCACTTTTAAAAACTGGTCGTACATTTAAGGGACACCAAACATCCTCAATGCATAGTGTGAAAAGACATTTCAGTTGACATATGAAAATAAAGGATTAAAACTTCTAAAGAGCCTTTATTTCAGGATGGCTGGTTATAAGCTAATCATCATCTTCTGTGATTTCCAGCCATCACTGAAATCATGACAGTTAAGAGTCATGTTAACAGTTCTTGTTCCGTACCTGTTGACGACAAGACGTTTTATCACGTCACAATACATCCTAGTTACGTGTTTGACTCTTGTGGAACTCGCGTCAAAAAAGACGGACAAAACTCTGAACCAAGTCTATGAAAAAATCGGTGGAAGAATTTATATATTAAACCCCGAGAAATCAGTCACGAAATCCTGGGGTCATCCGAGAAAATGAGTGGAAAATACGCTTAGTTCAATTCGTGACTTCATTCGTACAATGTACTGTAATAAAAAAGTTTTATAAATAAATATATTTTGATAGAGATATATCTATTTTTATTTATCGTAAGAAAATAAATAACATTTTAAAAATCATTTTGAAACAAGTAACAATGAAGACTTGGTGCATATGCGATATCTGCACCTGCGGGTAAGATTTCATTCCTTTTTTGCTTCTGTAGCGTGAAAGATGTGTCCAATACAGTAAGACCAGTATTGAAGTGTAGCTCTGAGGAAGGACAGGCTCTCTGTCCAACGCCCTCTTGTGTCGTTAGGCGGTATTAGAGTTTCCTTTTGCGGCTGTCGTGTCACAATTTGAATAAACGTGGAAATGACTCCAGAAACGAAGATTGATAGGGGGAATTAAGAAACAGAGGAAGTCACAACAGATTAAAGGTCTAAGAAGTTCACATATCATAAAGCAAAGTTAAACGAAAAAAAATGCATCAGGTGTTGAATCTCAAAATGTCAAGAGTTCCAAAAATGGCAAGAAGTCAATTACATCACATTATGTACTTTGTAAAATTATTGTTCTATAAAAACAAGAACTGCAACCACAGAACTCAACCTCAAACAGCAGCATGTCAAATTCAGTTTGGTTGTGGCTGTCAGATGTAAGACAGAAAAGATCAAAAGTTGCCTACCCTTGCCTACACGACATCTCAAACTGACGGTAATAATCAATGTAGATCCTTCGCACAATGCAACCGTATAGTGAAGTGTAACTTTTTAAATCATTCTCTGACAAGCAAGACTATGTCTTGGGTATAAAGAGGATTACCATATTCTACACACGGTGTAATCACAATGATCACTTGTCCTTATAAAACATATACGGTAAAACCAAAAGACAGCTTAAAACAGAGTATCTGAAGATTAGAACGCTATTAGATGTCGGAGATCTTTTGAAAGGAATCATACAATCTCTTTAGATAACTGGGAAAAGAAAAGGTACACAATTCCAGAAGAGGTGTTGATGTGGATAATATTCTTCCAAGGACAGAGTCTTTCTGCTTTTCTTATTTAAATAGTTAACACCTTATGGATTTAACACAATTAGATTTTAAATCTTGTTTATAACTGGGAGTTCATTAAAAATATTTGAGCATTTTTAAAATAAAGTTAATTTTAAACTAAAAATTTTAAATGTTTTTTTTAATGTATTGATGTGTAATAACTTTTTGATATACAGTACAGAACTTCATTATCAATTGTATTTATGGTCAAATGGGTCATTTTATTTTTATTCCCCCCAAAAATTCATTTTTCATTGCATTCATTTCATGTGGAATGCAAGCACTTAGGGAACTCTTGCCAATATAAAGATCTTATGTGTACTCAAAAATGTTTGACCTGATGAACACTTGTGTTGTCAAAACCTTGACAAGTTAAATTAAACTTATCTGGAGTAGAGAGAGTCTTCATCTGGTTGATCGTATTATCACTGCGTAATTAGAGAACAGCACCTTTATGATCTCTAGGTGTGCATTATTTTTCTACTTAATAGCAAATGTGAAAAAATCACAACTGAACAATTACAAGAGTGCTGTGAGTTTGGAATTAATAAATAGCAGAAATGGCTGCAGAGTGGTAATAGATTTTTTTAAACGGCTTTTAGGAGATTTTGTGCTCTGAGTGTTTCTCTGTTTGTTACCTGTGCTGTTTAGCCCCCATTCAAATCATACTCATATTTCATACTTTAAAATGGGTCCAGGTGTAGAGAGAGTAAAGCTACTGTTTTGAAACGTATCGCATCACAGTTTATTCTTTCATATTAACATTGCAATTTCTTTTTATAAAACCAGCCTGCCTTGTGCTCAACAGAATTGTACTACAGTAATTTTGTACTTTCTCAAAAACTCAAAGCCATTTTTAATTCTATTTCCATGGAAACTGTTTTCCATGTGATGACTATCCGCTTCTTGTGTGAGTAATAAAATGGTATTTTTAGTAACTTTCTCCTCTGCAGCCTGCCCATTCTTACACGGCTTGGCTCTTTGAATTGTTGAAAAATGGCTACTGTGTTTCACTGTGATAAAGGAGATTAGTCTCGAGGATTCCTTGTTGTGAGGTAAGACCACAGATATTTGTGCTTTTCTAACATAACTCACAATATTTTCTATTACCATGAACCACGTTAAAACTCTCCTGTTGGCTACAAAAGAATCGAGCGTGAGCAAATCTAATTTTGAACACTTTTTATAGTACTACTTTTCTCTATATTATCTGTATTATCTGTAAATTTTGGAGACTAAAGAGGTGGAGCGATGTCATGGTATTATTCAATACTAGCTTCAGGTATTGATTTGTAGGGGCATTAAGCTTCCAAGACTTGGGCCACAGGCTGTGCTTTTCTATGGGAGATTTAATTCTTTCAACAGCCATGCGCAGTCATTGCAACCTGGCAAGTAATTGAATGATTGACTCAGTGAAGTGGAGTGTTGGGGCTCAGTGTTTTCCAATGCAAATAGAGTAGCAATCATTTATCAGTAGCAGTAAAAAAACCCTGATCAGCATAAAAGAAGAAACCAGTATGGCTACACTAATCAGAGCGGTAGCACTGAGTGGTTTAGAGCTCTTGACTTCTGACAAGGGGGCTGCAGGTTTTAAATTCCAGGTTGTGTGGTACTTTGTGCCAATCACTCCTGTAAATACCCTGCTGTATAAATTACTTCATAGGTCATCTTTGTAAAAAAAACAGTTTGTTCTCAATTAATTATCTGGTCAAACAAAAATCAGACACAAAAAATATTGCATATTGACTGCACCTTCCTGGTGTTTAATTCCCTGTACGAGTACATACAGTCTAATTTGTTATTTTTTAATTCCACTTCGAATTTTACTTTCTCTTGAAAACTATTTCAGGATGTTTGAAGATGAGCCACCAGAAAATGTTGTTACAAACAGACCGAAGGATGGTGTTCAGACTGAATTCATCTACCTTACATTGGTCTATGCTGGTGCTGTGAGCTTTTTCACGCAGGTTTCATTTGAAAGGGTTTTACTATAACAGGAGATAAGCTTTCACACGATTGACAGGCTGGTCAAACATTTCAATCCAGTCAGAGTACAACTGTTTCCATTCCAGATGGCACCGCTGCCCACACCTGCCTACAGAATTATTCAGCTCGGACACAGCCTCCTTCCTCACAGAATACAACGAAAAATTCTGTCCCTATGGCTTCTCTGCGGTCAGACAACCACACAGAGCTAAGGATGAGCTTCAGATACACACTGGCAAAATGGAAAACACAACAACCTTTCGGTAAGTGGTTCTGTATGGAGAGTGTAAAAGAGAATCTGAATATTTTAAATAATAACAGTGGTGTTGAGTTTCTACAGATCTGGAAGTTTGCCTGGTTATTGTAAATGTAAATTTCTGTGATAATCTGTTACCACAGTGGAAACCTATGGACATCCTTGAGGGAAAAGATCATGGCATCTCATTTTGTGTCAGGGCTAGCAATGGAGTATGGCAAAGCTAAGAGTATAAAAATATAGTATGTAAAATAGTACCTGACATTTAAAAAATGGGTAATTAGCAATATTATTGCCTCAGTTTGAGTATTAACTTTCACTGAGGCCTAGTGTTTATAACCAGGGTATACACTAACATATTGCTGAATATATTACGGATTCCATTCCAACAATATTGTAACCCCAACTCCGAATGAACATTTATACCAAAGTGTACTCAGGCACATTGTGTTGGTTGTTTTCGGTCTCAACACTGCAGATGAAACACATGAGAATTCAAAGTGCCATTCTTAACTGCTACCAAAATAAAATCCCCTTACCACATTTCAGGGCAGACTATGTACGGCACAAACTCTCAAAAGCACCAACGAAGACCGTCAAGGAGTACATCCAACCAGAGGGAGACATGATGCTGGACACCACCTATTCCCGGGCGTACATCTCACACCCAACTCAATACCCGGTCCCCGCAGTCAAGCCAGCCATGTACAGGCCAAGCTCTGCAAATATGGACGTCATACCCACATACAAAGGTACACTTAGCAGCCATTGTGGCATAAATGAACACAAGCGGTAAATAAGTCAATTTTTGTTGTAAACCTCATTTGATTGGAAAATGCCAGCTGTGTGTTGGCTCACGGGTAAGAACGCTGCCATCTGCCTGTCGATACATCAGTGGTTTTCGTACTACAGGGTCAAACAGGGGCAGGAACTTTCTGCTGCTGGAATAAAGAAGGCAGTACTCTGGAGATCTGGAGGGGAGCTGCGACTAGGATAAATGAAGGACCTGACGTGGTCCTGATTACTACAGGCTGGGGAAGAGGAAGAAACTTGTTCCAGTGTTCCTGGTTATTTTGTGACTGTTCTGATGGTTTTTTTTTGACAGCCACATTAAGAAATCTCGAAACAAAGCTTAACTGCAGCATCACGAGGGGAGAATGAGGAAGTATAGGTAGAAACCTCCTACCTTCCCGCCTTTAAGCCACTAATCTTTGAACATGACACAGGCTAGGCAGCCCAGTACTGGAGGTTGAGGCTAGAGAGGCATGTTCCTCACTGACCGCACCACATCCTTGCAAAAGCCCAGAATGCTACAGGGGTCGCTGTGCAGCCAGGAACAAAGATCGCCACACAGCGTGCACCAGTGTTTGTGACATCTCAGTCACAACAGAGACACGTGATGCCTGGGTCATAAAGTTCAACCAGTGCTCGGGCAAGCAGCTACGATAGACAAGCTAATCTGTAACCCAAATTCATAACAAATTACAGCAATATTTTTAAAGAACAACAAGAGACAATGTGATATTGGGCTGGGGATTGTGCAGGCACGGCAATTACTTACAAAAAAAAAAGACAAATGTTTTAGTGCAACAAAACATAACAGCAAACTTATACCTGACCTACTGACGGTGTTCGTATTTTTCTTTCAGATGATTATCGTGCATGGGAGATTCCAAAACAGGAAGTCATTAGAACAGCAAGTAATCTGAAGCTATGCAGTGCCAAGTTCAGCAATACCACCGCCTTTCAGGATGACTATGGGGCCAGACTCCCAGTCAAGTCTGAAAAGAGTTACAAGCCAGTCCAAGAGGTCAAGGAGCCCATGCCTTTTGATGACTTGACAAACTACAAAGTGGAGTATGTATGTCATGCAGTGCAACCTCGATTACGCACTGAGAAGAAAGCCTACAAACCCCAGAATGCCCCATTTGATGGCCTAACCACCCACAAGCGTGACTACAAGGGCTTAATTGGAGCACAGACCAGACCTGTCAAGCCAAAGCTTGCGTGGCAGAATACTGCACCCCATTTCGAGGCGTCAACGGAGTTTCAGGACAAATACAAGCTCTGGCCTGTGCAGCCATCACAGCCACGCAAGAGTGTCAAGCACACACCCCCAGAGGGAGCCATGGACACGATCTCGACAACCCACGCGGACTTCGTAGGACACCAGGTTCAGCCGCCCAGGCCTGCACGCCCCCCAGTTCAGGAGTGGAAGAAGGGAGAGCCGTTTGACGCTCAATCCACCATGAAAGAGGATTACCGACCATGGGAAATCAAGAAGAGATCCCCAATAGTACAAGTCGGGGAAATCGAGAAGCCAGCCGGCCCATTTGAGAGCACCACTACCTTCCAGGCTCACTATGTGCCTCACACCCTGGCCCGTGCCACCAATTACAAGCTGATGCCAACCATGCTACAGTCTCAGCCCTTCAATGCTGATACCACTTACAGTACCAGCTATACTGCAAAGGAGATCAGGGTCTGTCCTGCTAGCTTCCCTGTGCCACCGGGTTTTGAGCACGAAGAAACGGATCCTCTTGGCCATAAACTCTACCGCACTATTTCGACCAGGGATAACCACACACCAGCTGCAGTAACAAAAACAACCAGCAGACCAAACCACAACAGGACACCGTCCGCCAAAAAAGAACCAGCTAGGAGCAGTTAAAAGGGAGGACAGGTCAGTGTTGGTACTGCCAATATGCAAATGCTTTTTCAAAGATTTTTTTAACAATGTAAATCAGTATTGTGAATTTTTATACATCCGGACTTTATTTGGCAACTTTGTTTTGGTTTTATCAGCTGTGTTGACCGAGATATTGTATTTTGATAATGTGCAAATTAAAATGAATTTGCAACAAAATCTTGCAGAGTCGTCTGTCCTTCAACTATAACATTCGACAAATGTGAATTTCCTTAGAACACAGAAACCAAAGTATTACAGGTGAGGCACGCAATGTATACATGAAGAAAAAAAGATGTAAAAATTACATGTATTCAAAGTCTGTAGCTTACTTTCTTTAGTTTTCACAAGAGACTAACGTGAACATAACATACAATGCATTGCAAAAATATTCTTGATCCTATCTCTGATCCCTACTAAATGTTATTTTTAATATTATCATTAATAATAAATGCACCAAAAGTTTCTGTTGGAGCAAAAGTGTGAATTTATTGACCAATTATATAAAAAAACAGCCTGTTATAAATATGGCACAATCCAAATATTCAAAAATGCATAACATATTATCATACATTAGATGTTTGGAAAAAGAAAATGAAAAGAATTACAGCAGAATACAGATTAAATTGATAAAGTTTTTACTGTACATGGATTCAAATTATTAAACAATGACAGAAAACTGGGTGTCTGTCAAATAAAACCAATGCATTCAGCAGCAAGCAAATCTGCTTTTACCCATGATCTCTATTTTCTTGTTATCCCATATCAAGACATTTTTTGCTCTTACCAACATTTAGTACAATGCACAAAAGGCTCAGACCATGAGCAGTGTATGATAGCAAGGCTGTACTGTATAATTCAAATTACCCAAAGCATCTAAGCTCATGTTTGTAATTTATTACATAACGACCAGTCTATTGAAACTTAATGAGCTGCATTCATCCATAGGTAAACATCTTTCAGTAGGATCATTTGTAAAGGTGTGAATAAAAACAACATCAAACATCAAGACCGCCCTATCAGTTGTATTTTTATTGGTCACCTAGCAATAAAAACAAAAATATTTTCCTCAGTGTTCGTTTGTCAGCACTAGTCTCAGGAAGAAAACAATCTCATCTTAAAATTCATTAGTAACAGAAAGAATCTGGACTAAATCTCTAACTCTTTACATCAGCTTGCATTTCAGCAGAAACACCACATGGGATTTCAGCCATAAAAACATGGGTGTCCTATGAATAAGCTGAAGTAAAAACAGGAATCCTATGAGTAATCCATCAATACATTGAGAAATTTACACTACATCTTTTCAATAAAATATATAAAATACATAAAAATTACAATTCCGATCTTCTTGGAGTCGTTTCAGTCTTCAGCAAAGTGTATGTGCTTACTTGACTCTTTTGCTCTGCTTTTAATTATTTTCTCAGCCTTCGCAATCAGCTTTGAAAAGACAAAAAACATCACAGATATGAGAAAAGGTTAAACTGATTTAAAAAGCAGTTGTTTGTTGAGCAAATCAGATTCCTCACTTATATGTTTTACAAAGAGTGACTGTTTAAGATTCAATGGAACACTTTTAAAATTAAATGTTTTAAAATTTAAATTACTTATGTGACTGGGTGACCGAGTCCGAATTATAATTTTAACTAAGCCACATAGCTTACTAGGAATATTTGCTGAATGTTGTTACAAGCTTCATCCTCTTCACTGTATCACTTTCATTTGGCAAATATCTGTTTCTGTCTTGACTCTTTTTACGTGGGAAAAGATTCATGGTATTATAATGGCTATATCACTATATTTCCTTTAAAGGAGGGGAATGGACACTTTACTGCTCTGCTGCTGTCTGCTACTTTATTACTAGAAACGACTGCTACTCTACTGCTGATGTCAATATATCGAGTAAATTATGTTAACCGTGTCCAGATTTTGAAATAAGAGGGACATCTGTGCATTGGCCGAAATCAACAATGCCAATACTCAGATCTTCTGAGATTGTTCAAAAGGTTGTTCACCAGCACAAAGCTATTGCACCCTGTATTCTAACTTGAGTGTAATAACTACCATCTCTACTGAGAAGCTTTAACATGAAAAATGCTATTAATTCCAAAAGTCAACTGTTGCGTTTAGTGCCTCAGTATAGATGCAGAAATGGGAATAAATTATTTATTATTATAATATATTTACTAAATGGTCTTTAATAAATCAATTTGGAATTCA